TTTTAGTTGTCGTTCGCTTAATAGCTTCACGATGATTGACGGATATTTTATTCGCACAGTCCGGACATCGCAGCTAAAATACAACAGACGCATGCCTGTAAACCTTCAGTAAGTTGCGGCCAAAGTATCGTCAGTGGAACGTTAAGGGTGTTTGGGTTTCAAAGTGTGTCGATTGGTTCGACACATGCCGTTTAAGCATTTAACAGCTTCGCCAAAGACGTTTGATCTCTTCCACAACTACGTTGACAGATTACCAGTTGCGAGCGCTTTCAAACCATCAGCAACAACTCCGCAAATTAGGGAGGTCCACGAGAACTGGCAAAGCGCAAAGAGGCACTCTGGTCAGTCCGTAGTGCAGCTTTTTGGATACCACGCTAACCAGTAAAGTATTCATAGTCGGGTTGATAAAGTGGCAACTATTCATGCTTTTCTAGTCTTATTTCCTCCCACTTATCACATAATTTCACGTTTCATTCTTGATCCTACAAAGGTATCTAACACGAGGTAGCAAATGTGGAAGCAAAAAACTCGCACTGGCCGGACGATTGGCGAAAAACGCAAAATTCCGTCGATTTTGAGTAACTAATGAAGTGCTGTCCAGATGTCCGCCCATCTATCCGCAGGACTCCGAGATCTTCCGTCTCTCCTCATCCGGACAAAATTTTCAACATAATTATGACCTCACTTATATCAAATAATATCAAAATCCTAAGATTTTCCATGTTTACCATTCGTTAATAACGTCTTCCCGGCCTGACCCTGACTATTAGTTCAGGGGTCATCTTGTAAAATAAAAAGTGATGTAACTATCATTCTTTTACTAGATTTATGGAACAAGAGGACTATCTTTTAAGAAGCATGAGCGTTAAATACCATTTCATAAACGGAAACTTTCCCTTCTCGTTATGTCTTTTCTGTTGCTTTATTTGTACCAGTAGCATATTGTACCATTATCACTATGTTATGTGCAATTATTGTTTATCGTCTTACACCATGTGTGGTGATCGCGTCCACCTGAGCGCGTTTCTCATCTATGCGTTAAGAAATATGCAGATGTTATTCTTACCACGAGACCCTATTGTAACAGCCGTTTAACAGGATTGTCGACTATTACGTAGGATTACTTCGCAATGAACTGGTGGCGTCGAATATGACACCGGTTAGTCGGAAACGACCGTCGATTAGTAGGACCGCGTTGACGTTATATCGACCCCTACAGCTATACTAAGCTTATTCTAATAGGTACAACTGTTAGTGTATCCGACGACGCTGTCGGTCTCACTCTTCAACACTACCCCAGGAGATTGTGGAAGCCAAATGCTTCTGTTTATCGAGGCTCATTTTTTTCCCACAGTAGAGCGCGACACTTTCGGTTATAAATAATTATCGATCTACTTCGCCGTCTGTCAATCCCAATATGTGGATAAATGAGACTAAATAATGATTTTCGCCGCTCACAAATTAATTTTTCTTTCCGTTATTGAACCGAGGTGTTTTTCCTCCTTGAAAATCGGTATTTTAAATTTGTTTTTTGACCTTGGTTTAACAAGCCTTGCTCTCCTCACACCGATATTGTTGCGTCTGTTATGACCCTAACGGATAGGCCGCGATGTACACTGCATGGCGATTGTAAACATCGTTGCAATTGTTTTGCCTTCGAAAATACTCAATGAATTCATGGGAACGACAAAGCAGCGAACAAGACTTGCTTCCGTGTATGGTCATCAGGCTAATTACAACACAATAATTATGTAACCTGCAGCCGGTGTGAGTCAGAGAAACGGTCGATGGGGCTAATGGACGGCATGTTTGTTATCAGTTACTCAATCACTGTTCCAAATCGTGGACTTGATTGATCGTGGGCCAGGGGAGATTAGGAGTCCGCACAAACCTCTTCTGGGCGCAGAGGTCAGGGTTGCGTAATCGGATACTAATGGCCTCGGCGGCCGTCAACATTCGGAATCTCACTATCCTTCATCGATTCCTTGGCTCTCGGTAAATAATCCCAAAAGCGTATTTCTTACTGACAGATTTTCAGATGAGCAACGATCGCGCTTGTATCCATTTTAACCACACCATTGTTCAACCACGCAGGATGAGATTCACGCACTCTACCGGACGATTGCTTTGTAGTACGACCAACGCACGATGCTCAACCCGGGCAAACAAATGAGTACACACAACAGCTGATCGTAGAACCGGGAAGTTTGTCTTTGAGTTGTGACAAAATTGGTATTGAACGGGGGCTCACGCACAATTGAGCGGCAGGATAGGTTGTTCCGACTGACTTTCTAGGCTTTCCTGAGATGATTTCGACCACGGGATCTCCCTTGAAAAGAAGGTTAGTAAACGCAAGCTTCTTTTCACAGAGGGTGGCTTAAGTTTCAACTCTACTGCCTGCATTGCCTTCTGAATGAAACGCATTAGGTAGCCATTCTGCGTGAACACTTGTAGAAAGTCTAGCTCAGCTTGTATAGTGTCAGGGGTGCAAATCTTTAACGCCTTACCCATCAGATATTGTATGAGGTTTTGCTCTTGATTTTGCCGAAAGAAATTGTCAAAGTGAATGTATCGGCCACTCCAAGTTCGCTTTCTGTACACATTTTGTTGGATTGGACCATCTTCTCTTCTTACTATGCCAGAACATAAGAAATCTGTTTGACTACTGTGGTCTGACACCCTGGTGAATTTAATAACGTTATGGGCTGAGTTAGAAGCTGCCATAAGTCCGCTCATGCTGAAATTTTTGTTCACGACGCAAAACATCTCATCGGCATAGCGATTATACAGTGACTGCCTAAAAAGTAGCACGTTTTGGTATAGGAGGCCCTTACACAGTCGACTTTTGACTTATCCTGAAGGCGGAATCAAAGTAGACAAAATAGGAGGGTACTGCCCAACACCAAGGCCTGTGACTAACTCGGTGACTGTTGGATCAGTTGGAGTTCGTTCGGTACGTTTATTGTTTTCTGTCTGGTGTGGTGCAGGACAATTAATCTGTTGAGGTGTTTTGCTTGATTGCAGAAAGCCAATCCTTAATTTGCCCTTATTTGTCTTTGTCTTGTGCAACAAACGATCATTACGAATGTTGTACCATAACTGCACATAAAATGTTCAATTTCTCCCTACTTTAACTGTCACTGTTTACCTGTTAAAACTTTCTTGTTTGTACCATTTGACGTGCTCCCATCTTCATCTGTACCCGTTCGTTTCACTGAGGTCATCTCTCGTTGTCTGGCGGCTATTTTTGAACCCGTGCTTTGTTGCCCAATTTTGAACTCCTTTGCCGGACACTCGTGTACCAGGTTAGTTTACATTTAGGATGAGATAGTATCTTTGTTGTACTTTTGTTAAACAATACTGTACAACTTCCAATCCTTTCGATATTCCTTTCTGACGTTTTTCGATTGGGAGGATAGTCATGTTAGCCGGACCGTTTGAATAGGCATTGTTGGAATCGTCGACTACGCGTTAACGAGTATATTACCTCAAATCGTCAGGGGCGATTCAACAGTGATTCTACAAAGCGTTCTGGGACCGCTACTTCTCCACCCGTTTATAAACAATGTATACGGTGTTATTAAACGTGACAAGCCTTTTTAGCTTGCCGACGATATAAAAACCGTTTGCACATCCCGCCAGCCAGTAACATCGCTTTCTGTCCACGAAGCATACGACAAGACCTAGCACCACTGCGGTCACGGTATAAAACATAGCAGATGGCGTTCCCGGAGGTTAAATCAAACATTATTACGTTCGGTTGTCGAATATTTAAGGGTTCTATCTCACTAGACGGTCATAATATACATACCGCCATCTTCGTTTGAAATCTAGGAACCCAGTATTCAAAGCCACTTAATTGCTCTAGCCAACTACAATTTCAGGTAGCAAAAACTAGAAGGGCAATAGGCTACGTTAAAATGGCATTCGGTCTACCGGCTACGAAGATGGTTGTCCACAAAATGTGTTAAATCTCAAATTGAGTACTGCCTCTTTCTTTATTGCTGCTTACGCATGTCTCATAAGCTTGTGGTAAAAAATCTCCAGCATGTATTTATTAAGAGCATATTAAGATATTTATCTCTGTTTAACTGTAGAGAACGTTGTCAAATACTAGGTTCTTACCAACTCTGGTTACGAAGATCGAAGTTAAACCTTACAACTCTGTATAAACTGATACCTTCGGGCGTCATTATTGTAACGTTGGCCGTTCATTCACAACACAACCTCCCATATGGTCTAATAAATAAAGTGTCCACTTTATCAACTCTGCTAGCTCGGAAAGAGATGCGCGCTAACTTCTTCGTTGTAAAATATTCCTATACTTAGAATAGGCTGCTGAATAAGATCAGAGGCAGCAACAGCATTCAGAGTTTTAAAAATGTCTTTGACAGCTATCGCACGCTACCAAACACAATATCTACCTTCAAACTCTGCGCATTCTCTGGTGACTGCTTTGTGTGTTGCCCGAGAAACATCTAGCGTTCAGCTGCAAATAACGCACATATTCGGTACCCTTGCCAGATCCTGTCGAAGACAGCTTGATTGTAGCAGTTTGTTGTACCCCTATCATTTGCCCAAAGCCCATCTAGAATACGAACAATTGCAGACTCACGAAATCGTCGGAATATCAACTTCATTCTATTCATGTATGGTATTTTGCACGCATTACCCAGACTGCTGGAAAACTCACAATCGGAGCATACTAGTGGGTACAGCAAGATGCTCTTATATAGAATTATACTTAGAACACGCGGAAGGACATGTTTTCAGTCCATATATACATTTATAAATATATACGCCCCTTTGAAACAATTCATTTGCCCTGATACGTTTTCATGCACTAATTAATGGTATCCAGTAGCAACCGGTTAATATCATACAAAAGCTGTTCACAGGAAATTTTACGAGGGAGAAAAACAAAACATTGCTCCTCCTGTATACTAATGAGTAGTGTGGCGGATTGATGATTTTGGATGTGACCAAACTGTGAAAAGTCAGGACTTCTGCTGGATTCGAACCAGCAACAAAAACACTGTGCCTCTACGTGGCAAGTGCTCTACCATCTGAGCTACGAAGCCACGCCAGGAGCTCGGAAATTTCACAGTTGGACTCGGCTACCCACCCCTCCCAATGACTCATACGGAATCCACCAAATGATTCGGGGGATCGACTGCCCCGGCAGGATTTCTCGAACAGTTCACGCTGGAATTCACCAACTGAGCATGTAGTTTGCGTTCACACTGCTGGCTGCTTCGTCCAGTTAACTTGAGCCATGATCAACGTCGATAAGAAGAACACGAGAGAAATCAGAACGAACTTGTATTTGGACCGTTCAGCATAATTTTTAATGGTCTCCTTCAGTTCTGGCCAAAAATAACATTCTGGCAGCCGTCAGCGCAGTGCGCAGCCGGCAGGTCATAGACCAATAGACATCGGAATCATAATCGTCCATAATACGAAGATAGAGGGGTTGTAGCGGAAATGGCAGAAGTGGGTATCAATGATTTCGTCGGATAAGTAACGGGTATCTAAGTTGGTCATTTTCTGTCAGAATATGAGCATTGGCTCGCGTACGCATAGCAAACTACATTCAAGCAGAGCCAATAAGCAATAAACGAAACAATACGCACGTTGTCACTGATAGAATGGGACGTGTTACCCATGTTTACACCGTGTCGCACGTGGAAACAACCAAGTGATAACGTAGACGGTTTTCCATCAAAAATACTATCATGGGAACATGCTTGATATATGCTCCACATGTACAACTAATCAACAAACGTGGCGCAACGGTCTTCGTCAGTAATTATTGTGATATTTCGTTCACAATGCAATGCAAACGCAACGCTGTCGAAAATTACAAATTCAATCATATCTCCCAACCCATGCAAAGTTGAGCATTTCTCCGGAGTGGGAACATGTATTCCACCGCAAAAATTCCAATGAAAGCGTTTTCAGAAGGTAAAATTGACTAGGAAAGCCAATGTGATGCTTTTATCGAAAAAAATGGCGGCACATTTTTTTCAACAAAAGTGCAAATGTGAACCATGTTTAGGTATAGCTGATTTTTCTAACTGCAACACTGCCACTATGCTCGATAAACTCTATATATTTGTCCCACGATATGCGTTTTAATCTCACTAAAAATTTGAAAAATCTCTTCTCGTGCCTGAATGGCCGTTTCAAACTCGTTTGGGCTTCGAATCACCATACCGGCGAACCACTCAATTGCCAATTTCAACTCTGAGCTTCGGTGACGACCTATTTCTTCGGATCCTCGTAGTTCTGGACGTTCTGGGAAGGTGTCTAATGTCTGAAAATAGACAGTATTGTTCTCAAACGTCTGGTTGTTTTCCAAACGTTTGTGACTGATGAGTCGCTGAATCACGCATTAATAATTGGCCGATCAAAAATTGGTGGTTCGGAAACGAAATTCTGGTTCTTTCACAAGGATCCTTGTATATATAAACCCAAGCTTTTCAGGTCGATTACCGTTTCCAGACTGACGTTAGGCGTGTCGCTGCTTTATTTCGTTCTGATTTCAATTTTGGTTTTGCTTTACTACATTCTAAAGAGCAACTGTAACAGGCAAGCGGGAGGAAGGAAGACGGAATTATGGCATGAACGCTTATATAACACCTGGCACTGGTAAGGCTTGTTCAAGGAAGTTTTCCAATGTCCGAGCCACTGGCACGGCGTTGACAGTATGCTGTCGTGATCGTTTCAATTCCCCGTCATACTACACCCAAGGTAGTCAGACACCGTCCCGGTGCCACTGGTACGTTGTTTGGAATCTCAACCCCTGCTTCTGTCCCTGATACCCCTTCTGATATCACTGCTCCACCTGAAGCTTTCACGGGGTTTAGATTATTGAAATGTGCGGCCATGGGCTTTTGACATCTGTCTGTGCCGCGACTGTAACACGGCGCATCGCTAAATGCATGTTTAATTACAAAAGGACATCCCTATTCCCGATGAAGTTTATCGGGTACCCAATGGGACATCTTTATGCAGATTGACTTCCGCCCCAACTAACAGAGGTTCCACACGTTGTCCTGTGATAACTGTATTTTTGACGCTGTCGAGCCATGTTCAAGAGATGATGAGTCAATTAGTGACTTCTAACGATAAAGCCCTGCAGGACCATGGTATACTCCACGATTAGCACGGGTATTAATTCGATGTAAGGTGCTTGTAAATCTGACGGGAGTCTGAGCTCCGGACAAGTCCAAATGAAGATCAATGTTTGGTTAGTGAAAGAGTGAACAATGCTCCAATACGCTTAGAAACATTGTGGCAGCGTTTCATCCCATTGCTGAACTTCCTCTGCAAATGCTTCCATCATACATTTTAACGTACGGTTTATGCGCTTGACCAGTCTATTTTCCTCTGGGTAAAGAAGGGTTGTCCGTGTCTTGTTTAACTTTTCCAGCCCACACAACTGAAGCGTGGTAACGCTCTCAAATTTGGAATCCTTGTCAAGATGTAACTGTCCCGGAGCAGCCCGGTTGCAGAGCCAGCCGGTGAGAATCGCTTTTTGCAACCGCTGGAGCAATGATCGTCGCCCAGGACATGAATTCCACCCATTTATAAAGTGATTCGACATTGCGAGGACACGTTTTTTACCTGATCATATCTTTGGTTACTGTCCCATTGAGTCGAAGATAACAATCTCATGCAAATATCCAGCCTGCACTGATGCTAAATATACTGCGTGATGTGGGACTGGGTTTCTGAAACTGCAGTAAAGTGAACGACTGCGACAAAAATTGGTGACATCTCTCCGCTAATGAGACCACCGACACCCTGCTTGAGTTTATTTGTCCGATGTATTCAGTCCAACGTGTCATAGTTCTCGCTGATGATTCCCCAACACCTAGGCAACCGCTGTTTGGGAAACGATAGCACGTCAAGTATGTGTGGGTAATTGGTGCATGTACCCGATGTCATCTATCACAGCCAATCGATTCCGCGGGGCTCAGAAGCATCGAGGCTCCAAACCACAGCCCGGAAGATCTTCTTTCGTCGGCCTACTACCAGTCGCTGACACTCGCCCAAAAATCAATGCCAGCTCAGGATAATCCTTCCGCAATTTACCTCACCCTTCCATTCTGTTCTGCGGACTGGCGAGTGCTTCGTGCTGTGTAGCGTAAGACGGACAATCCCATGACCACGGACAGCTCTTTGAGACAGTGCCGTCCTCCTGGTCGATGACAGCAATCGACGGCATACTCCTGCTGATACCCCTGCTAACGGGCGATCTGCCTATCTTGGTCACAGAAATTCCCTACCCACGTTAACGACTAATGGTCAGTACGTACCCTGAACTTCTTAACAAATAAGTAGTGCCGAGATCGTTTTTTTTAAAACACTGACGCAAGCATTTCCTTTTGGTAGTGCGATACTTCACTTCTAGCCTAAGGCCAGTATGGCGCAGACAATCTAGTAAAAATCGTAAATTTTCGAAGTGCTCACTGGATGGTGGACCGTTAGTGATGAAGTTGCCCACTCATACCAAACACTACTGAAGCGCCAGACCGCAAAGTGCTGATTGCATTAGCGCTGAAATGTCGCTGATGTCTTCAGCAAACCGAATGGTAATGTCCCGAATTCATACGACAAAGAAGATGTAGTGAAGGTTGTTCCGGCCCTGCTTATCTTGTCCGCTTTGGCTTGTCGGTGGATGGATACAAGGTGGAGCGTGCTGAACCAACACGAGCCGCCTAGTTCCCCCCAGTATATCATACGTGTGTGGAAGTGGGGACCAAACCTCTCTTCTGCGGCGGCATTCCGAAGTCGGTAATCCACAGAAGAACTTAACTTCCCGCCCACCTTTTTTGTAAGTACTACTGAGGTGGCATACGATGAACTTGAACACCGTCGTTTTCGATCATCCGCCCAGCAGTTTCTTACAGTGCTGAATGGGAATGAGCCGATAGTTTCCGTACCGGCAAAAAAACCCTGTATCAATCCGATGTTTAGGCACACCTCTGTGTCCTGACACTGGGAAGTTTTACGCAAAACTTCCAGGTACCCCGCAATAAGACTGGTCGGGCCGCTCTTAGACTGGTCGTTACTCCCTCCAGCCTGTTCAGTGAAAACCTGTGGCAGTTACGATATCTACGATTCAATTTTATTTTAAGTAAGATCTGTAGTTAAAACTTCACAAGTCTGCGACCCCATCACCTTTATCAGTTTCGTTGCAACGACATCATCTGATTAACGGACGGTTTCTTCTGGGTAAATTGCTGAGGTGGTTTAATCTCTCCATAACATCCGTTTCTAAAATCGTGTCCCTCAGCAACCATTCGGAGACCGTCACTTGGTGACCAAAATACGTTCTAGCCAAGTTCAAATGGATTTCCATACGTCCCGAACCGTGAGAGGCAATTGAATTCCGCCAGACTAGTCGTTACTTTCGATCCCACTAGGGTGCATGATGCCCCCGTAATTAAGAGACAGGAAAACCACCGTCCGCTTATGGAAATCAGCGCCGCGTGTAACCTCTGGTTCTGTGATAGGCCGCTCTTTAAATGAATCGGTTGGCAAGTTTGCATCCTCGCAGAGAAACTCATAGGGATTTCGGTAAACTGAGGTGAACTTAATGAACACTGATTCATTTGAGGTTCTTGTGTTGCGACCACGGGCTTAGGCAAACCGCCAGAACCGCCGGTAAAAGTAACAGATGCTCCAGTTTCCTTTAGTTTGACTACACCACCGGGTTCATGCGTCACGTTGGCAGCTTACATTCAGCTGTTAAACAGCGCTGTTATCATTAAGTTCGCGGCCGAAGTTCCTTTCTAGGCTGCTTGCGACTGCTTCGCCTTGGTGCACGACCTCAATAACCAACTCCAGTTCGGCGGGCGGACTCACCGAGAATCGCTCACAGACCTTCATGGAAGTCATTCCCTGTACCAACCGTCTCAAAATCCGTTGGGCCCGTTTGTCAGCTAGCTCCGTTGGGAAATTCTGCAGGCCGGGTGTTTTGATTGCTGTTCGGAAATCGAGATATATTTGCCGCGCTTTTGGCGACATTCCGGAACCTCTGATCTATAATCCAGGGAGAGGGCCAAAGTCG